TATTCAAATCAAGAGAAATATTTATAATTTTGTTATTATTTTGTGTTATATTTGTTTGTATTTACAATACATTCAATAACCCGCTCTCTCTCTCTCTCTCTCTCTCTCTCTCTCAATATTCTTTGAATTCAATCCAATTGGGAAACCATTGATGCTATCGATGCCTAACATAACATACAGAATACAACATCTCTTTATGTAGAGAATGAAAGAGCAGAACGAATGCACTCAAGTGTCCGCTGAGATGAAAGCTATTTAAGTGAGTATAGGATTCAAACATATACTTCACTCTTCACTTAACTCTTGGACATTAATATTCACCTATAATTTGATGAGTTCTTCATATCTTTCATTTTTATGATTTAAAACTGTTTTATTAAATATTTATTAAAACTGTTTATTTGAAACCAAACTTTTCAATTAATTATTTATTTATTCCATTAAACGTATTCAATATTCAAGAATATTATAAAATATATAACAAGGATGTCAATAACCCGCTCTCACATTATCTCGCTCCCTCGTTATTATTGGATGATATTGTGGGTGTGTATGTAATGTAATGTATGGGTTAAGTCAATGCGGAAGCGGAAAAAGGGATCGTGAGAGCGCCTTATTGTGAGAGCGGGTTATTGAATGTATTGTAAATACAAACAAATATAACACAAAATAATAACAAAATTATAAATATTTCTCTTGATTTGAATAATTTAAATACAGTATTAACATATCAATAAAATTACAATACATTACAATTCCAATAAATTTTACAAATAATTATATTATGCTTTAAATTTATTTTTATTTACATAACTAATCATAGGTTTGGTGGGCTGTATGACCATTAAAGGGGCCGGTATTTGCTCGTAATTCACCGCATCTATCACATCAGTGTTAATAAAAATTCAGTTAAAATAGGATACATGGTTAATAAATTTATTATAGGCGTGTGTATTTTAAATAGTTTAAAATAGTAACGTTTAGTTCGGCCAATTGCTACATCTAACCTGCACCACAAGCATTTTGGGTATTTTCACTAAAATTGACTTAAATATATACCCTGTGGGTTACTTGTAACTCTGTGTATATTATACACTGTATAACAATTGACACATTGTCATTTTGCAATTTGTTTGTAACATTCAATAATAAGTTTACATGTATTAAAATTTGTTGAACAACTCTTAATCGTAGAATCTAATGTTGAAATTCATTTATGGCATAAACTTAAGCATTGAATCAACGCATGAAATCAACTTAAAAACAATCATTTTTATGATTTTCATATCAAATACTATGAAATACAATGAATGAGTTTTAACATTAGATTCTACGACTAAAAATCATTCAACAAATTCAAAATCACGTTATCATCCAGGATAATTTAGAATTCCAAAATCCTCTTTAGTATTACTCATATATTATTATTACATTATGCATAATTTTAAAATGTCACTTATTATAAGATAACCAGTGGGTAATCAATTAAATTTTATCATTTTAATTGTTAATTGGTGAGTTATAACTTATAAGTTATAACTAAGTTACTTACAAATAGATCTCGATGAGATGATGTGATTATTATTATCAAAATGAATTTGTTCCGAGTCTAGACATATATTAGACTCTTAAAACAATTATTAAAAAATGGTAAACAATTACTTACTCGTAAATCTCTTAAATCCATGGATAGTAAAATAAGATAAAACTATACAAATAATTAATAAATGTTTTATCATGGCTTATATACGTTTTGAAAAACAAATAAATAAATATTTTGGTTTCAAATGTTGAGTTTGAAATGTTGTGAATATGAGGACTGAAGTCATTTCAGATTTGATACGAAAGTCGTGTTATTTAATTGTCAGTCATATAAAAGTACTTGATATTTGAATTACAATCGCGTATTAGTGCTAAAGATCTGGTTATATGTCATAAAGATTGGGCGGAATATCAATTGCTTGAATGGATGAGCTAATTGTACAATAGATAGCATACAATGAATATAATTAATTGCTATTTGAAATGCAATACTGTATATAAATGAGTGACAACTCCACCCGAGATTTAAGGCATTTACTAACATTATTCTCAATTGTAATGCTATTCAATAATAATAATATACATCTTATTTTACGTATAATACGTATTAATAATACAGTTAACGATGCGATAAGTAGACGAATAATTGACAAAAACTCGGCAAATATATTCTTTTCATAGCAAATAAGCCCATAATTCCTGTTTTGATTCAATTCTTTAGTGAAATAGAGGCCAAAATGTCAACTTCTGGTACTCTTTCTGCTTCTTTTATATTAGAAAAACATAATTAATACTAATTATATTTCTTGCGATTAAAAAACAGACATAAATGCTGTAATACTAAATGTTCCAACAATAATAACTTTAATACAAACAACATACTTAACATGTAAAATGTTTTATTATTTATTTAAATGAAAATATATAATAATTTTAATATTAAAAAATGAAAATATTTCTTAATTATAATAAAAAATAAATACACAAATAAATAAATTATATCATTGGATGAAAGTTTCTAATTTATGAATAGTGTTTACAGAATCTATATTTTGACTCAAATTCTCATCACTTTTCTTATTATTAATAGCAATGCTATTAGTTTTTGAAAGTAAAGTCAATTTTGCGACTCCAGGGTATCGTTTAGTCGGTGATGACGAGACTGAGCCGATAGTCTCATTGGCCTGACTCGCACTGCCATCGAGGGATTCCGTCTCATTAATTGTTTGGTTATTATAATAATCATTGGATTCAATGGCATTGGCGTCAATCACTTGCGAATCATAAAACGGATAATTACCGCCACTAATGCCCAGACCTGTAATGACTTGATCGCCATCAGCGCATCCAACATATTCCTCGTCATCTGTTTGCTCATCCGGTGCCACGAATACCACTTCCAGCACACATTCGCCGCTCTAATTACAACATCCATTCAAATCATATATAATCTAATTAATTATTTTCATAAAGTCTTTATTATTGTTTAATCAAAACAATCATTTAGTTCTTTATAATTAATTTACTTCAAAATAAAACTCAACAATAAAAGCCCATTAACAATATATATAATTATTTATATATCGCTCATTATTAATGTCATTAAACACTTCACTAATTATTGCTTTGACAGAGAATTGCAATTATTATTAATGGTTCGGAAAACATGGATAATATTGACAATTAAAATACTGTTATATAGTTAGTGAACATGAAATTATAAATATTTAGAAATCCTGCTCACTCAGCATGCTCATTTTCAGAGAGTGTATCGGCAATACAAATATATTTCAATAAAACAATGTAATAAATAATTGCACGCATACCTGATTGGATAGTATATACGCCGCGTCCGCGTGTTTGGCATCTCTTAAATCAATTTGATTGACACTAAGAATAGCGTCGCCGACATATAAAGCACCACATCTGGCGGCCGCTGTATTGGCGTGTATTTGCGATATAATGATCGGAACGCCGTGTTCTTTGCCGCCCTGTATAACAATTATAGCAATTAAATCAAAGTTGCATTCAAACCAATTCATATATGCCATCAATTGTATCACATTTACAGCTACACTATAACACTGTATTGTGTACACTACACACACATTTCAAATGTTAGACAAATCAATCAACATTATTGCTTGTCTTAATAATAATCATTTATGCATCAAACGAGTTATCAAATCATATTCTTTTAATATGTATTCAAACATTTTAATTAACATCTCATCAATTTGTTTCAATCAACTAAATCAAAGTATTAATATTATGAAATCACTTCCATCATACCATCATTGCAATACAACTCAAAACCACTTCAATTATCCAATTTTCATAAACTTCCTAAATCTGAAGAGAATTTCAAAAATGTCTATTTTCTACCGATATTTAATACTCCGTTCTCACGGGCATGCTTCGAGTAAGCTACCTTGCTTAAGCATCGTGAGAACAGCCAAGCAAGCTAACTTATCGGAGCAAGCGAGGGACCCTTCTTAAGCAAGTATACTTACCTGAGCCCTAGTGAGAACGCAAAGGTTACTTGACTTGAACCAATCAGCGCACAGACAATAAACGTGTAGTTTTGTTTATACATTCATTACACTTTATTTTGTCAAAAACCAGTTTGACATGTGGTCAGTGCTTTTGTTTTACTGAACAGTCAATGAAATGCAACACCAGTTCAGTAATTACGTGGCCATAATCATGGAATGGTCAACAAAAAAGTCAATTTTAGTGAAAACAGGTCTTGCCAACTTAAGCAATCCTAATGAGAACGCAAAGCTTGCTTATGTTAGCAAACTTACTGGGCCCAGCATGCTCGTGAGAACGGAGTATAAGTTTTAAGAACTTTTACATAGAAATAACGTTAAATTTAATTTCATTTTTGATGACAATTCTCATGCACGTTTTAAGTCATTTTTAATGCTCAGTCCGAATATGATACTAAAAAGTTTGTTTCCTAAATATTTTACAAATTATTTGATTTATAAAATTTATAATAATTTGTATTCGGAAAATGGGAAAAATATCAACTATTTTAAAAACAATGTAAGAATATTAGAAAAGAACGAACACTATTGATGTTGATTTGATTCACTAAATGTTTGAATTGTGTATACAGTATCTCGAATTGGTATAAATAATTGTTTGAAATGACAATTAATCTATTGAGTGAAGAATGAGTGAATCATTGGTAATGTATTGCTCTTACAGTGATAGAGATGCCGAGCCCTTGATTGGCGTCCTTGTCGATGGTGACGAAGCGGAAGACACCGACGCCCTGTCTTTTCTTCAGAGCTAAGCTGTTGTGTTGCGGCGGAGCGGCTAATGGATAGCCGTCGAGACAATTGGCACGACAGGCTCTGATGACAGTCTTATGGCGGTGTAGATGTATTTCGGCCTCCAATTGGTTCCAGAGACGGTCGTGATCGGCATCCTTAGCATCTCTACCTAAGAGTTGTATTTGTTGTATACGACCGGCCAGTTCTTTGTCCAAATACTTAGCGGCCAGTCGTGACCCGAATAACTCACTTTGCAATTGAAGTGTTTGTCGACGTAATGATATATTTTCTTTCCTATTATAGGAAATTGCAAAGCATTCAAAACCAATTGATATAAAATAAAGCAATTTTAAGCAAAAGAATGCAAACCTGAGTTGAACGCACTCCTGGTCTTTAACTTGCAATTGTCGGCACTTTTGTCGTAGAATATCATTATTTTCACATTTGTCCGCATTTCTCAAAATTGGAAATGAATTTCTTTCGTTGGGATGTATGGCATGTATGCCATCAGACGAACAACTATCACATTTTGAATCACTTTTGTCATCAATTTCATCGTTCTCTTTATTAATTGCTTTTGTTTCACACAATTCTTGTCTTAAATCCTCCAATTCTTTCTGTAAGAATCAATTATATTTATATTAATTATAGTTTATAGAAAACATTCTTCGCATCAAATCAAATATATTTGAAATTAATTTCACAAAAATGTTTAAATATTTATCCAAAAATAAATATTAATATAATATCTAAAAATTGGTTCAAAGTATTAGTGATAAGTCTAGTCTTTCAAGTATAAGTTAAATTAATAATCAAAGCAATTGTGGCTCAGTATAGATAGCTTTTAAAAGTATACACTATTTAACACTAGACTTCCTTTTCATGCACTTCCAAATCATGCCTTCGTATAGCATTTGCTGTACTAATGAAAATGACGAAATGTATAGCCAGTGCTTAAAAAGAAAGGGCTTGAAAAGGAAGTCTAGTGTAAACACAATATTCTCATGTATCAAAACAGTGAAGCAAAACAGAGTTCGTTACTATTTAGCCATCAGTCCTCTTATAAGACATCAGTTAATGTTTATATTCAAATCAATTGACAGTATATTTACGTAACATTGAAATCACTTATTACTGTCTAATGCCTCAAATAGTTTATTCAACAAATGTTTTAACTTTAGTTTTTATTAGTTTAATATTAACTTTTAATTATACAAAAGCTTCAAATATATTACGATCACATTCTCCACAACAACAACCACAACCACAACCTGGTAATTATCTATAAATTTAATTGGTATTCACTGTTAAAAATATTGTCATAAACTGGACCACAGAATCGACATTTCACTCGCGAAGTGCGGATCTAAATAATGGGCATTCAATCCAAAGTCAACAGTCATTGCAATCAAAGCCAGTTTACGACACATTGTTATCTATCGATGAAAGGATCCGTTTGTTGGAAGCGTATGACAACACATATAAATTAACACGACTTGACTTCACATTAGAACAATTGTCTCAAAGAATCAGTTCAATTGAATCCAAAATTTTAAGATTAGAAAATACTTTGGATTCAAAAATGACTAAAATTGAAGAATTGTTTGTAACGAGTGATAGGAAAGTAGAGTTTAAAAGCGAATCCATTTCTAGAAAAATAGATGACTTAAACGACAAAATTGAACTAAAGGTATGTTTTAAAACTCTAACAAACGTAAGAAATATTAAAATCTATATTTCATTGCTTATGCGATATTTTCCCAAAGTCTACACAAATTGAAATCAAGTTTGAATCGACTATCAGTAAAGTTGTCGATAAATTAGAGTCAATTGACAGATATATTCATCAGAATAGTGAAGAAATGGTCGACAAGTTAACCAAATATGAGGAAAAGCACACTATATTTGAATCACACGTTAAATCGCATATAATTAATATTGAAAGTCTAGTTAAACACTCATTGGATGCAAACACCAAAATCAAAGATATTGTTAGCTATGACTTTGAATCGGTCGATAAAATGGTTAATACATTCAACGATTATAAACAACACCACAATTCGCACATTAATACCCTCTCAACACTTGCAAATCAATTACAGGTATTCATTACAATACAATTAGTTTACAATTATTGACAACATTTTCATTGCAATTATTAATATAAGATTAATATTTGTCATCAGAATTGGACGTCAATCAACCCAACACTATATAATACATGTCACGAAAACAATGCAAATAAATGTGAAAATTGTGTTAACAATGCAATCAATAATGAGATGAATGAGAAGACATTGTCAGAAGAGAATACAACGGCAAGTGATGCTCATATTAAAGACCTGACAAACACTTTACAACAGTTAACACAATTAGATGTGGATCAGAGGTTGACTCAACTCGATGTTCACGTCGACTATTATTCACGTAAAATAATTAACACAATTCAAGAGATATGGCGATCGTCTCAATTATCAGAGGATTATTTACGTCAAGCCATCGATACGGCCAACAAAACCCGGTCTTTCATCCGTCAAGAGTTCCATCGCCTCCAAGAACTGATCGATCCGTTAACCAAAACACCAGACTTTTCACAAATCAGGGAACCGTTGGAACAGAAACTCTATCACTTGTCCACTACCATAGATGACTCTTTCAATACTTTAATGATATCTCAAAATTCGTTCATCTCTTCGTGTAGTCGTATCCAAGAAGAAGAAGAACAACTGTACGATGTGTTGGACGATATGCTCATTGAAATGAGAAACAAGTCAAGTGTCGACGTCTCGGCCATCAAAGAGTCCATTCAAGAACTCACTCATCTCGTCAACCAATCCATACCTCGATTGCAGACACAAATGGATTCAATCAATCGCTATATCATTACACAAATGCCATTCAATGACAACAATTCTTTCGTTGAAGAGGAATGCTTTCTAACAAGAAGTCAATTGATTAGTGTTTGTCATAGAAATAAAAATAATATCAACACTAATGAAGACTTGCCATCAGATCATCGATAAATAACTTTACAATATTTTGATATCAATTAAAAGTAATGTTAATTAAAGTTAATAAATGTTTGACTAAAGACTTGACGTAAGACTAGTATAACATTAGGTGTGAGACAAGACATACGGTTAGTGTTTGGTTATTGTTGGCAATTGTGACCGTCTTGTGGACCAATTGAGTAAAGAGACCACTGATTGCCGTCAAGTGTTGTCTCGCGTCACATATATTGACCATCAGATCATTGAATTGATTCACATTCACCGCTTCTTCCGAGTCTGAGATAATGGCAAACACTTGAGCCAAACACGTGTCGGTGTCGACGAAACACACGTCAAACTCCTTCTCCAACACATGCATCCAATTGAGTCCAATCTGTGAAACGGATCCCATTATCACTCTTTACCACAACAATCACTTCAATCACAACAATCACAACAAATACCACAAACAATACAAATCACTCATTTGTTGAGCCATTTCTTGCAGTAATTACGACGACTCACACGTCGACCACAAATATGACAAATGAATGCCAGGATCTGTTGTGGTGACAATATCATCAAATGTGACATTTCATGGTATTGGCCGATATTAACAATAGGTATACAAATGGTATAATTGATTGATATTTGAAACATTGGTATTGATTTGAGATCACAGTAAACATAAATATTTGATAATTAATGACAATTTACGTAATTATAAGTAATGAATAAAATATGGTTTAATAATACAAGTGTTGAGCCCTAAAAATACAATCAATTGACATCAAATCATAATTCAGTTATCATCAAAATTATATTCAATTATTCACTTACACTAACAAATAGTGACCTTTTATTGAATCAAAAACTATTTGATTTAAAGAAATCATTTCAAATAAAAGCAATTCAAACGAGTTATAAATTAATATAAATTACTGTTAAGAATAAAATACGTGACAAAGGATTTGAGCCAACATTGAATCCAAACTAACGCTATATTCAAACACACATTAGTTAATACTCAATAAATTATTTTCTTTCATATTATATCACAATTGAGTTAAAAATGTTTTCCATTCGTTTCTCAATATATTAATTATGGTGTTATATATATTGATAATAATTATAAAATTAATAATGAGTTAATGTGTTATCGGGTTATTTGCAAGAGATTTAATCAGATATTAGTATATTATTAAAATGAGAGAATTCTCAATATATTAATTATGGTGTTATATATATTGATAATAATTATAAAATTAATAATGAGTTAATGTGTTATCGGGTTATTTGCAAGAGATTTAATCAGATATTAGTATATTATTAAAATGAGAGAATATATAGATTTACAGATATTTATTTGATCACTGGTTAGTGTTTAATAGAGTTAATGTGTATTTATATTATTAATCGTGCAAATCATCCAATTGGTAGCCATGCGATCGCATCCATACGCCAAACATTCAATTCGCTGAAAATAAGACAAAAATATAATCAATATTTCGTTCGTTAACTTCTCTTTAGTCAACACATTATTTGTTACACTTTTTGATTACACAATTATAAACTCATATCAAATTGACAACAATTAAACACTCAATTAATGTGATTGTGATATAAATGCAGAAAATATGTTTCAATATTGAGTCAATTGTTGCAACAATTGTCATCTAATTGTCCTCATTTTCGTCACTCTCTTCTTCATCTTCTTCTTCTTCTTCTTCATCACTTTCATTGCTCTCTAATTGCTTTCTATTGTCGATCGCATGAGTTGTGTCAATGGATTCATTGTTGCCCTCATTACCAGAATGACTATCAAAATGGTGCGAATTATTTTGGTTATTGTCATCAATGATATCACTATTTGATTGCATTTTGGATTCTTGTTCATCGATTGGTTGTGTTTTTGTAAACAATAGTTCATTTAAATCAAGTTTTTTGCCCTTCAATTCAAACAACTTATCGACCGGAATATCGACTACTTTTCCATCTAAAGTGAGCACTTCTTCAACAGTTGTCACTTCACTGATATATTTATTTGATCACTGGTTAGTGTTTAATAGAGTTAATGTGTATTTATATTATTAATCGTGCAAATCATCCAATTGGTAGCCATGCGATCGCATCCATACGCCAAACATTCAATTCGCTGAAAATGAGACAAAAATATAATCAATATTTCATTCGTTAACTTCTCTTTAGTCAACACATTATTTGTTACACTTTTTGATTACACAATTATAAACTCATATCAAATTGAGAACAATTAAACACTCAATTAATGTGATTGTGATATAAATGCAGAAAATATGTTTCAATATTGAGTCAATTGTTGCAACAATTGTCATCTAATTGTCCTCATTTGCGTCACTCTCTTCTTCATCTTCTTCTTCATCACTTTCATCGCTCTCTAATTGCTTTCTATTGTCTATCGCATGAGTTGTGTCAATGGATTCATTGTTGCCCTCATTACCAGAATCACTATCAAAATGGTGCGAATTATTTTGGTTATTGTCATCAATGATATCACTATTTGATTGCATTTTGGATTCTTGTTCATCGATTGGTTGCCAAAAACATTTGTTATCAAGTAAATTTAGTTCAAAAAACGGGAAGTTAAGTTTGTTGAATAGCTGGCCTTATAGCTGATGAAAAGGTAGATTTCACTCGTGAAGAAGTTGTCAACAGTGAAGTGACTCCAATTCATCAGCCAATACACCATTGGTTGCCTCTTTGGTCACTCCATTGGATACAGGATTGTCATCATTTTCATCTATAATCATACCTTCGGGTGCGGGAGATGTGTCTCCGTTCTCGATAGTGATGTCTTCTTCGAGTCCCAAAAAGCTGAGAACAGTGTCGTCATCGCTGGCCGTCGAGAAGTCTTCGTAATCCTAATATCAATACAAACACACAATTAATGTCATAATCGGTAAAATGTGAGACAAAAGGCATACAAACCCCACAATAGCGGTCGTCGTTGAAGAATTGTGGCGGAAGTGCTATCGTATTGTTGTTGCGTTTTTTGCACACATAGAAGTAGTCGAGGAAGAGCAGAAGTACAGGCCCAAGTCACTACAGCTACCGGACCATACGCTAGAAGTCACTCAGGTTATTGTAAACTCGGGAAACAACCATAAAGAATTAGACTAGGTTTCCGTGGTCTTATCACACATTTGCAAATGTCATAGCAATTCAGTAGTGATTACCTCTTTGGACGCAGAGATGCCAGATATGAGTACTTTGACCACCATTTCCACGATATGTCACCCAATCTAACGATCAATCAATTGATGGCCTAATTGTCACTATCTATGAGTGAATGGACGAGCAATTGGTCGCAAACACCGATTTAATGGACAAATAATCACACCTTTAATGACAACGCCTTTCACATCAAAACAAGAATATACAGTGCAGTCATCACTAATACTCACTACACTGTACTACTGTACACAATACAGTCACTGTACAGAACACTGTACTACTGACTACACTGTACTGCAAACTTCATTCATTGTCTATTTAGGCCTTTAACTCTCACAACTCGGGTTGAGTAATACTAATAAAAGGTGCAAACATTACACATATTACAAATTCATTATCATTTTCATTAACAGTAAAGTATGAAAATGTTTTAAAATGTTTTATATAATTTACTGTTATGTCATATTATATCACATATTATATAATATGAGATTACCATAGGTAGGCAACATTAAATTTTGGTGATTGTTAGAATATACCCTTACTTGTCATAAACACATCACAGCTTACGTTAATTTCAATAAAAACTAATTTATTGCTCAAATATATTTATTTACAGTTAATTACTGTTTATAGTTATAGTTTAATCAAATCATTAATATATAGGACACTAATGACAGGCAAAATCAGATATTATACTAATTACTGGATTTGAATTTCAAATTTTGAAACAAAACAATTAGTAATCAAAATAATTGGCAAATAGAGAGCATTGTATGCATTAATAATGATTTAAAGAGCTTTTGCCGCCCGAAGCCTCTCCTCGACGTCCTTCCAGTGGACGACATTCCAGATGGCCTTCACGTAATCGGGTCTCACATTCTTGTACTGAAGATAGTAGGCGTGTTCCCACACATCTATGCCCAACAGTGGCACCAGTCCTGTAGTGGCAAACAGCGGGTCCTGATTCACACAGGAGGCGATCCGCAGTTTCTGAGTCTTGGGACAGTAGCCGAGCCACGCCCAGCCCGACCCCTGCACTCCCGCCGCCACAACACTCATCTCGCTCTTCATCTTCTCAAATGTGGTGAAAGAGCCCTTAATCTCAACGAGAAGATCGCCCTCCGGTTCGCCGCCGCCTTTGGGCGACAGGTTTTGCCAGAAGATGGAGTGATTGATGTGTCCGCCGCCGTTGAACCGCAACACCGGCTCCAACGCTATCTGCGCCGACACGTCCTCTGCAACACAATCAGTCAACACATGTCAACATTGATGGCACATATGATGGCATATATGCCGTATACGTACTGCTATTGATGGCTGCGTGCAGTTTCTCTTGAGCCACATTCAAGTTGTTGACATACGTCTGGTGATGCTTCTGGTGATGCAATTGCATGATCTCTGCGCTGATGACCGGTTCCAACGCATTGTAATCATAGGGCAGATCCGGTAACGTGTGTTTCCCGCGACACCAATCCCTCACTCCAACCATTCCTCCACTTCTGGCCAAAACACCGCTTTTCATACACCAGACAATCAGTTCATTATATGGTTTACATATTCATAACAAATGCATTTCATTACCATTTCCTCACATTTGAAGACAATTGTCTCAAAGCGTTAAAACAACTCATATTTGCAATCAATTTAACCATTAATTCATAGAAAAGTCGTCAATAAAGTGAAAGTCAGTCACTATTCATCACTAATACATTGAACCCCTTCTCGCTAAGCATTTTCTTCACTGCATAACACTATTATACATGTGTTTTACAATCAAATGCTTTACAAATAACTGCAATATTTAAGTGGAAATCAATACACAATTAATATTATTCAATATATTTTAATAATAAAAGTATTGATATTTTAAATATTAGTAAATAATTGAATGAATGATAAAACATGTATTTTACAGATTATACACAATTACACATCAACTTAACCAAAGGGGCAAAGGGTGGCCAAAGTGTGGCCCAAATATAGGCAAAGCGTTACTTATGGCCACATATTATAGGCGCCGCTAAAGACATGATGAGTGGCCTTAGATTTGGCACTTTTATTGGTGTGACTATTGTGTTGTGTTTAGGGATTGCTGTCTAATAAAGGCCTTAATGTTGGGCTGTATTTGAGGGCAAGTGTTGACAGAGAGTGAGAGAGAGGGAGAGAGAGTGAGAGTGAATCAAGTGCTGAGAGTTTGCACTAAATATGGAGTTTTGAAAACAAAAACAGATTTCATA